AGAGAGAGAGAGAGAGAGAGAGAGAGAGAGAGAGAGAGAGAGAGAGAGAGAGAGAGAGAGAGAGAGAGAGAGAGAGAGAGAGAGAGACGAAAAGAGAGAGACAGAGGGAGAGAGACAAGTAGATAGAGAGAAAGGGAGAGAGACAAAGCAAATCCAAGTCGTCATTAAAAAAAGGAAAGTGCATAGTGCACTTCATCGCCGCCAATTTAAATTATGAGATGACGGAATAAACAGTCCCGCCATACGGCAAAAGCCTACGACAAACAAAAAAAGAAAACGTCAATGTCCACAAGACGACTCATCCACCCGATCGGATGACCACCCACTTCTGTGGCCAACACGACCAATATGGAATGTGCACGTCCACGACGACCCGCTCACGGCTATAACGACGATGGAAAGGCTCACACTTTCGCGCCGTCCACATGCATGGAAGCGACAATGCGCACAACAGAGGCGGCACGAACTCTAAGTTAAACGCTCACGAATGACCTTCACTATCTCCAACAGAGCATGACACATCAGTTGGCTGACTTCGTCTGACGCTGCGTAGTGCCTTTTTTGCACTTCGACCTCCGCTTCCAACGCCTCACACTGCCGGACTTGGATGGAGCACCGCTGCTTGCCGACGCTCTCCATCCGAGTCGTCGATGCCATTAGCGCCCCGTGCTTCTCCATGCATTCTGTCATCGCTTCGAAAGTTTGTTGCCTCGTGCTCTTCCTCTTGCCGAAACCGCCGGGGCTACCTATCGTTTGGGAAGAATCTTTCGTCGACCCGTCATCGTCGTCGCCGTGCCCTGCACCAGCGTCTTCATCGCCCACAAATCCGGGATCCGCAGAAGAGGCGGACGACAGACGCACACCACCCGAAGCACCTATGTCGGCGACGTTCTTGGGGTTTATGGTGTGGTTCTTGGTGGTCGACCCCACTATCTCGTCGTAAATCGCACGATCCATGTTGAAATTGAATCCTTTGGACGTCGTCTCCTTCCCAGAGAATTAGAAGAAGTCTTGTTTCCCGAACAAGCCTTGAAACTCATGCACCTTTTTGAACTGCTGCATCCAATTGTCCCACTTCTTCCCGCACTTATCTGCGTCTCTGTCGACGCCCACCTTCTTCAACCTTTGCGCCACATCTAACCACTTCCATTCTCGCAGCTTCATCCGAGCGTAGGCGTGACCCATCCCCTGTAGATGCGCATCCTGGTCACGTTTAGCCCTTATGAGGGCTATAACGTCGTCGACGGAGTCCGACTAGAAGTGATGACCTCCTTTCGCATCACCGTCACCTTCGGTATCGCTCCCCTTCCCCACCGCTTTTTCCCCCCGACGGCCATTGCGGGCAAACGCCTTCGTCTTCCCGCCCCTGCCTCCCATGTTGTCTTGCCTGAACGGCGACACGTAGCCTTTGTCCTCCTCCCTGTAGCGGACCCACCAGGTGTGGTGCTCCGCTAGTCACAGAGATGGAGATGGAGGAAGAAGGAGGGAGCAAGGTGCACAGCGCAGCTCCCCACGCAGACTCCAACGCACGTACTCCGAAATGTGCAACTGAAGAATGAGACGGAAAACAGACAACTGCTGGGGTATACCCCAGCGGACTGACGGGACTGGACTGGACTGGCTGGTACCGACAGGTACCGGCCTGGACTGGGCTGGACTGGATTGCCCCCGAATAGAACACAGGCCTGTGAGAACAGGCCAAGGGCCTGGTCTCACAGGCCAACCAACCAGAGGTCCGCTACACGATCCTCGGCCTGTGATGGATCGCCTAGATACAAACACGCTTCCGTCAAGAAGCGGAACTCTACCAAAGAAAAAAAATAAAATTGAGTAGTCTAGGATGCGGAGCAAGCTCCATGCTGAGTCCATGCGATGTAACCTAGGCTAGAAAATGTCACAAAACAACAATGTCACAGCTAACAGCCTAAGTAAAAGCAGAAGCAACTAACTAGCATACATGTCCTAGGAAAGCAAAAGCAACTAACTAGCATACATGTCCTAGGAAAGCAGGAAGTAGTGACAACTGGATCCTAGAATGTTGGAGGCACTAGCCTCAGTCTGGTAACAACTGACTAGTGTATAAGTCCTAAGAACAGCAAAAGCAGAACAACTAAATCCTAGAAATGTCAGAGGCAGTAGCCTCAGTCTGCGAGCAACAAAGCAACAACAAGTCTATCATATGTCACATGAGAAGTGTGTCGCAAACCGAAGGGTGGGATGGTCTCTGAGGGTGGCGAATGCAGCCTAGGGGTCGAAAACTCCTAAGGGCATCCACACATAGATAACAGGGAGACACATGTCATCAAGCTCAATGAGGGTAGGGAATTGGGAGCGAACAGAACCAATGACCCTAACAGATAGACCATCAGGGCGGGTAAAGTTCGGCTAAGGGATGGACGCTATGGAGGGTCGACCATGCAAGGGAACAAGGGAGCCTGGTATACTGGGCGCACCTAGATGAAGCATGCGGGGCTGCCTAACTAGGGCGTGAGGGCCAGCGAAGTGTAGAAAGATGATGGGTAAGGGAATCATGCAAATGACTCCTAAAGTGAAGGAAGTCGGAGCTAGTTCCGTAAGGTGGGAAGCCAGGGCAACACTACGGTCCCGATGCCTATGCGTATACCAAGGGAGAGCCCAACTCAGAGGAACCCGGCTAAAGGGAGACCATCATGCGACACAAGCAGGGTACTGTACAGGGTAAAGTGGTCAGAGAGTGGCGACGTCTGAAGTAGGCAGAGCTGATCGTGACGAAGTCCATGAAGCTGCCTATGACGTCCACGATGAGAAGTCCGGAATGCCGTCGAGGAAGAGCCGCAGCGTCGACGAGCTGAAGTAACAAAACTGATGTGGATGGAGTACTGAGAAGTAAAAGACGTGGGAAGGTAAGTCAGAGTCAATCGTCGTATCGAGCAGGACGACGACGAGTGCGCTGTGGACGCTCAGCAGCATCCGGCTGCTGCTGAAGGTCTGCCTCAGATGGAGCAGGCTCGACTTCAGCGGTCTCCTCAGCCGGAGGAGGAGGAGGGTCAGTGGGCTGAGGAGGAGCAGTGAACCCAGCACGGCAAGCACGGTCATAGGCACGCACCAACATGCGAGCGTGCTGCAAGTGCTCGAGGGGCTCCCAGGTAGCCTCCTCATGAGGGTAACCCTTCCAACGTACGAGATACTCGACGTGAGGAGGGTTGTCGTCGGTGACTCGGCGACCAATGATGTCTGAAACGAGGAACTCCTCGTGACCGTCCACCATGATGGGTGGAGGGCGCTCGTATTGTCGTCTGGCGAAACGCTCAGACGGTCTGCGGTAAGGACGCAGTAACGAGACGTGGTAGACAACGTGTACACGAGCCTGGCGTAGGTAGTCGGCCAGCTTCACACGGAAGCTGACCGGGCTAGAACCCGTATCAGAACCGACGGCCTGGAGGATGCGGCATGGACCAAAGAAGCGACGCCGAAACTTGCGAAGCGTATCCGCTTCGAGTTGTAAGTGGCGGGCGTCGATAACCACATCATCACCGACTTTGAATGGATGATCCATCCTCGATCGGTTCGCACGTGCTGCTATGCGAGTCTGGGAAGCGGCTATGTGCTCATGTGCGGTCTTCATGATCGACGTCATGTGTGCAACCCAATCATCCAGCGCGGGACAACTCGTGTCGGGGTGCATCTGTGACGGTCGAAGGAAGTCCACGGGAACACGAGGGTGATAGCCGAGGTCGCAATAGTAAGGCGACATCCCCGTGGCAGGCGAGACGGCGTGGTTGTAGGCAATCTCCGCATGGGCAAGATGAAGATCCCACTGCTGGTCGTCACGAACAATCTTTCCGAGAATATCYCCGAGAGTCCTGTTCGTGATCTCGGTCTGACCATCAGTTTGAGGATAGTAAGACGAGGAGAAGCGGAGCTGAGTGCCGTATACCTCGTGGAGCCGTCGCCAGAATCGGCTGGTAAAGCGCGGGTCACGGTCAGATATGATGCTGAGAGGTAAGCCGTGGTCRCGCACGACTCGGKCAAACACGATGTCGGCGACCTCACGTGCACTGATAGCATAGCGGCACGGAACAAAGTGTGCACGCTTCGTGAAGCGGTCGACGACGACCAGGATAGCATCATGACCGCGGCGGGTCGGAGGTCGAAGAGGACCGATAAAGTCGATCGAGATCGACTGCCAACGACCCTCAGGGATAGGAAGAGGCTGGAGCAAACCATAAGGTAGGTGGTTCGCACTGTTCACCTCCTGACAGGTGGGACACTCTGCGACATAGTCCTTCACAAAGTCCTTGCGCTTCGGCCAGACGTACAAGCGGCTCACACGAGCCAACGTCTTGTGGAAGCCCATATGACCGGCGGCTGCCTGGTCATCGAACTCTGCTACTGCTCGGACACGTAGCTGTCCAGTGGAGGGAACGCAAATACGGGGCTCTCCGGTGCCCTTTGAACCGTGCCAGTACACAAGACCGTTGTCCCTGAGAGAGTAGTTCGGGACGGTCTTGCCACTCCGAAGGGTCGCGTGGATGTCGTGATAGTCGGGGCAGTGGCGGTACTGAG